TATGAATGAGTTAGTTTCTGTTCGATGGACTTTGCCATCACTGAGTGAATGTGTGTGAAAGGGTGAATGTGGCACGTAGTGTAAAAGCACTTTGTTCTGTTTGCCTTTACTCACGACTTTGTCTTTTTCCGTTTTCGAAGCCTGACACATAGTGATACAAATTATGAATAAATTAAAATATTGAAAGTAGAGATCTCGTGCAGCTATCTGATTCTGATTCTTTAATCAAATAAAAGTGTAAAAGTAGCTCTGAAATGTACTCAAATTATAAAAGTGAGGATATTTATAATGGCTGCAAAGCTAAAAGCTAACAGCCCCCTGGTCTGTTACGTTACAGTTATTAAAATGTAACAAGTAGGATGAAAACATTTGTGTAAAAATGTAGGACGTAAAAGTGAAAAGTTGTCAAAAAAATAAATATTCTGTCGTCAAACAGTCAGATTCTGCATTCAGTCCCAGTCTGCTTTAGCTTTAACTACTCGCTAAAGTAGCTAACTGATCATTAGCTGCTGCTAACTGGTGACAGAACCGGGCTCAGCAGCCGGACCGGGATCGAACAGGGAATAATGTTACAGTACCGAGGTCATTTACAGAGTTTCTGATGGACACATTGATTGATTGCAGCTAAGCTAACTGACTCAGCCCCGGGACGCCAGGAGCCAAACCCGGCAAGAAAACCACCTCGTACCGGATTCGCTGTCAGTCTCGGAGATTGTGTTTGGTACCGGGTCTGGCTGTGTTCACTGGAAGGTACATGCTAGCTCAAAGCGCTAGCAGCAATAAGCCCCTCCCTAGCTGGGAAGCGGTTCAGTTTCAGGAGGAAAGTGACTCCGTCCTTATTGATATTCACCCAACATTTGAGCCACGCTTGATGAGCCATTTACGGGACATAAAATGTCCCATTTAACCTGCGGCTCATTAAAAGTTCATGTGTTCCCTTCGCAGCCCGGCAGGAATGAGGTTTAAATATTCATGACCTCCCCGACAGACACGCTCACCTCCACCAGACCAGACTCTGTCCTTGTTGGGCTGCAGCTTTATCCTCCTCGCCTGCTTTGTTTTTCATTCTCCTCCTCCTCTTCCTCCTCCTCTTCCTCCTCCTCTGTCAGCAGAGGTTAGAAAGTTGTGTTTCGAACCAGAAAGTTGCTGCATTTAAAATACTGCCCACTAAAAACTCAACAAAGGCAGTTTTATATACGAAGCACATTTAATAAAAGGCAGATTCACCATGTAGTTAACAAAAAGTTAAATAGGTAAAACTGAAATTCAAATTTAGTATAAAAGCAGTAGAATTAAGCTCAATTTAAACCGCACACAGTCAGGCTTTACAGCTTACCTGATACATGGTACAGGTTTTATTTCAGATTTTTTACGCTGTTGGACAGACAAAGGCGTCCCGGAGGGGCTGCAGCGCGAGCTGCTGCTAAACGTTAGCTCAGCTTGTTTCTCTGATAACTTAAGATTCCAGACGTCCGATGACTAAAATCCTTCATCCGGTTCAAATCTAGCAGTTAAAAAGCACCAAAGATCTAAACAGTGGATGGTTGGCTTCAGACTGGATCAACAGCTAACAGACTGAGGCTAAAGCTAACAGCTCCCATAATGTAAGAACACAACTCAACTACATACAGAACATAAGTCTGATGATTGTAAACATCTTAATGTGGAAATGTTGCATATTTATATTGTCACATATATCTAAATATATGTGACAATATAAAAGCATATCATTTAGTTTCTCAGATATTAGAGTAATAGAGTTTTAATTGATGTTAGTTATTAGCAGTATGAGCTGTACAGTCTCTGTTTAAGCTCCTGCAGGCTGCAGCTCCTCGCTGCCTCTGCAGGGGGCGCTGTGGCTCCAGGCAGCGGGCTGCTGTCCCAGCATCCTCTCTGTCTGTGAGTGAAAGTCTCTGACATCACAGTTCAGTAGAGTCTCTGAGGAAAAAACTGTTTACTCTGAGAGGAAGTGACCTCTAAAACCCAATCAACACAAACAGGCTTCATGTTCACATTTTAGCTTTTGTACGTCTCAGATGTTTGCAGAATGTTTTTAAAGAGTTTAAGCAGAGATTACGTCATAACACCGGCCCTGTGTCTGAATGTGCACCAACACACTGAGGCTAAAGCTAACAGGTCCCAGGTTATGATATCCAACAATCACCAACTCTGGTTCTGGTTTTTGGTGGAAATAAATCCTTAATTCACCGACAGTAGATGATAAAAACAGCAGTTTCAAGTCGGAGCAGACCAGCTATGGAAACAAACCACAGAGAGGCTGCGATACAACAACAGACAAGAGGGAGAGAGAACACCATGTGATCTGTGTGTATAGAGAATATAATGTTAGCTGATATAAATAATGATTATGATCTCATAACAAAAACCTTTAAATTAAGTTCCGTTTTTAGAGGTTTTTGCAGGTGCCAGGCTAGCTGATTCCCTCTGCTTCCAGTCCTTTGTGCCTAGGCTAAGCTAACCACATCCCAACTCCAGCCCCCCCCCCGAAGAAATGTTGAGCTGTCCCTTTAAGGCTTTAAGAACAGTTAATCAACAGTGTGGTTGATGTTTTCCTCCCGCTGAGATTAAACTCTGAGTCTGTCAGAGGAGTTCCTACAGCGCCAACACGGCGACGACGACGCTCTGTATTCAATCAGCACTTTAAAAAAATAATCTCATTTATTTTCT